CAGATTTCTTGTGTGGAATCTTTTTCCCTTTTGCAGGCTCTCCTCCACTTTCCTTAATCATTGTCGCTCCTGCGCTCTTCTCCAGCAATTGCTGGCTACTATTCTGCCTACAACCTCTTCCAGCAGCCTCTCTGGGCCGACCTTCCTCTTCCGCTGATGCTCCCTGACTCCACCAGCCCCAACAGCTCCCAGGCTTCCCCTTACACCCTTGCAAACCACTATCCAGCCTCCTCTCTGCACCGAACTAGCTGCAGCCCAGCTACTTCCTCCCTTCAACCTGCTGCCAACCTTCTCCCAGCAAGACCGCAACCTTCTTTTGCTCCCTGCCTCGTTGGTCGTCTCGCTTCCACCCTGCCTCCTGCAGGCCTCTAGTCTCTGCACTCTGGATTCCAGCCCTGATGACAACTTTTCTCTCGTCCAACTTTGGTTCGATGGCACCCCTTCTGCTGCCTTGCTGCTTGCCCTTTATTCCTCTTCAAACCGCAACAAGTTACCTCTTCTATCGCCGCCCGACCTTCACTGCAACCACTATCACCTACTCCTACGCTCCGAATTTCCTGCTCATCAAGTTTGTTTGTGTCATCCTTGTTGTGTTGTATGTTTGCTTTTATCCCGCATCGTTGCTTTTGGTGGTTGCTCTCTTTACTTTGACTCTCCATTGTAAACTCGTTTAGAGTCAGCAATAATATTTGTATTTTAGAGTCCTGCTTTGGGTAAACTCCGGTATCATTTGTATCAGAAATAGCCCAACCCTAGTCCCATCCTAGGGTTTCTAGCATCCACCTTGACCCAATCCATCACAATATTTTTTTGTCTTTTATTTATTTTTTTCTCATCTTTCTTTGTTCATTCTATTCTTTCCTTCTATGGATCCCAAACCATTAACCATGCCGCCAAGTAGAAATATGCCTGAGTCTACCAAGGAAGAGATATTGCGAGAGCTCCGCCATCTTTAATAGAAACTTGCAAAACTTGAAGAGTTAACATAGGAGGTTGTTACCTTTGACCGGGATCTATAGAGTCGAAGGGGAGAAAGAAATGATGATTTGAATCCCTTCCATGAGGAGACCTTCAGTGGTGAAGAAGACAGACCACGACATTTTGGAATACAATATCAGAGAAGACCTAGTGAGGGTATCTGAATCCTTCTCAAAGGGAGACTCACAGAGAGGAGATATCATTTGTAGGACACAGAGACTTCAACATCAAGGTAGATCTTCCAGAGTTCTAAGGAGGCATGCATTCGAATGAATTCATTGAGTGGCTACAGGCGGTCCAGCGGATCTTCGAATACAAAGCGGTGCCAAAGAGAGGCGGCTCGAATTAGCTGCTATCACGTTGAAGAAAAGTGCTTCCCTATGGTGGGAGAACATACAACGACTGAGGAGACGAGAAGACAACGATAAGTTTACGAGTTGGGAGAAGATGATGAAAATCATGCAGAAGAAATATCTTCCCCCTCATTATTGCCAGGACGTTTCTGAAACTCCGCAATCTGTAAAAGAGAAACCTTTCAGTGGAAGAGTTCACAGCTCAGTTCGACCACTTACAGTTGAAGTGTGATATGATATAGCCAGAGAAAAATACAATAACTAGATATCTTAAGGTCTTAAAGCCTAGTATTAACAATGTGGTGCAGCTACAGCCGTATTGGACGCTGGGGGATGTTCAAACACTAGTATTGAAAGTGGAAAGGCAGCAGAAGCAGAACAGACATTCATCGATAATCAAGCAACCACACACAGTTTGAGACATCAGCGGGAGCACGTCGCAGAGAGTTGAGAAAATTGGTTCAGATACAGATAAAGCCACCCTTAATGAGAAGATGCTGACTATAGTACCCGCCAGAAAGTGCATCAGATTCCACGGGTTTGGGCACATAGCCTCCAGATGCACGACGAGGAGTGTTGTATGTTTTATTGAGCAGGGCATCGTGGAAGAGGTTAATGAGGAGCAGAAAGCTGAGGAACAAGCTGGGGTTTATTAGCTTCTACCCGATGAGGGATAAACACTTGTGATTCGATGGATTTTGTCGGTCAGTGACATGAGGGATCCGTAGTGGCTTCACCACAATATTTCTACACCCGCTGCACAGTGAACGGAAAGGCATGCAGTCTTATCATCAATGGGGGTAGCAACAATAACATGGCATCAATTCAAATGGTAGAGAAATTGGGACTAATGACTCAAAGACATTCCCAGCCATATTCATTGACGTGGTTGAAAAAAGAGAATCGAGTCAGCATCAATCGGAGATGCCTAGTAGAGTTTTCGATCAGAGACCAGCTACAAGACCCGGTATGGTGTGATGTGTCCCAATGGATGTCTGCCACATCTTGTTGGGAAGACCATGACAGTTTGATCGAAGGATTAAGTACAATGGATTTAGGAACCCATTTCTTCACCAAGGATGGGAAGCAGATCATCCTACTCTTGGCGGAGCCTAAGATCACATAAGCCCTTACCAACAGAGTGACATCAGTGGGACTAACTTTAGTGATGACATGGGACGAGAGGACTGAGATGTCTGCTCAATATACAGGAGAGATACGACCGAGGGTATGTCAAGTTGACACCATACGATCAACGCCACCGCCTTTTAGGAAGGGTCAAATTCTCTCACTGAAAGCCCGATTTAATTGATCGTGGGTTACTTTGGGAAGATTCAGTAATATAGGCGTGGTCCACAGCCTTTGGAGAACATATCGATATGAAATTTTCTCATAAGTTGGGGAAGGCACTTAGGTGTCTTGGAGTATGATGTAGTCGCCGGTGGGATCCCGATGCTGCTTAGATTACTGACGAAGAACCGAAAGCTTCGACCAATGAGGTCGAAGCTTCCTCAACCCAAGAAGACTCATGCGGCTGTAATGGAGGACCAACCGGTTCTCAAAGGGAGGGGGGCTACTGCTCCTCCCTTTCCATTCTCTCCCTTTCCCCTCTTTCCTAATATAAGTTTTTTCAAATCAGAAGTTCTGAATATTTTTAACCCTCTTTCCTAAATCTGAACTTCTATTATAACCTCTTTCCTAAACTGAATTTCCAAAAAAAAAATTTTGAATATTTTATTCTTCTTTCCTATATTTGAATTTCCATTATATTAATCCCTTTGCTAAACTAAATTTCTGATTGCTTTTTGTTATTTTAAAACTTGCCTAAATTGAGTCCTATTACCCATTATTAAGAGAGATTACGAGAGGTGTTTAGTTGTATCCTACTTCGTGGTAGTGATGTATCTCCTCTTTTCACCTACCCTAATCCTTCTCCTCCACTCTCCTTAATCGTTGCCGCTCCAGCTAAAGGCGTAGAAGTGCCGCCCATGACAAGTCTTCTGCTTTCTTCCCGATGAATCTTGATAAAAACAACGCGAACGAAAGGAAAAGGATCCCGACCAAGAATACGACCCTAGACTTCTCCAAGGTTTTTGTTAAGGCCAGCAAGGAATTGAAACACATGATCCTTTTCTACAATCTTTTAGAAGAAGGATAAGTCGACCGGAGAATCCCAAATGTAGTCGTAGTAAAAGTCGCATTTCATCCATATTGCAACAAGGTTATTATAATATTGGGTCACAGTCCTTGACTCCTGTTTTGCCTCCTGGGTTTTCTTAGATACCTCGTAGAGTTGGCCGGAATTTTCTACATAATAGTAGGTATTACGAACAACCGTCCAGAGGGCACTAACAATAGTGAGGAACGTGTACTAATTGAGGTCTCCATGGAGTTGATTAGCCATCACATGACTATGAAGTTCTCCTCTTCCCAAGCTTCATAAGCCGGATCAATCTTTGGAGGCCCGGATTAGTATTTGGAGGCTCATGAACCACACCTACGAGGTAACCCAACTTCTCATGTTCTTTGATGAACAAAGCCACTGCTTAGGACCATTGGAGAAAGTTATTGTCATTCAGTTTATAGGTTGTGATTAAGAAACTCTTGTTGGTTTTCGATCCTCCGGTCTGCAAGGGAGTGGAAATTAGAGTAGGTCCTCCGATGGAATCCAGGACACCTTCTGAAGGTGGTTTAGAGTTGGGAGTAATCCTCCATAATTTTGACTCTGCCAAAGGAGATGTTGAGGTTTTGAGCCATCAATGAACTCTCATAGGGTTACGACAGAGGACTGCAGGAAACTACTAAAGGAGGGAACAACGGATGTTGTATCAGAGAACTGCGACTACTTGAGAATTGGAGCCTGCCGATAAGTGTCGTAGAACAGCGAGATCTTGCGAAGTGTCATAGAAGAGTGGGACAGCGAGACTTTGCAAAACATTGGGATCTTGCTGGAGAAGCGTTGTATAGAATAGCGAAATAATGGGATATTGCTAGAATCAGCGGAGAAGCACCGTAGAAGCTGCAGCTGATGGAACTACGATTGCAGTTTTTTGTATAAGCATTGTAGAAGCGGATCTGAGGAAATAAGCGGACTGGAGCGGCTATGAGGTGCCTGCTGCTGGAACCGGCAGAGGGGGCGGTGGTTGATGGATCTAGGGTTAGGCTCTGATATCATGTTGAAATTTGGAATAGATTAGTTCAATTTTATTGATAGGAGCGGGGGTATTTAAACCTAATTACAATAGACATAATAATGGAAAGCAATAAAAATAGAATAAAAAGAATAAAGTAACAGAGGAAAAGTATAATCAGGAAATAAATCAAATAATAAGTAATAACGACAAATGGATAACCATTATAATCTAATAAAATTCATATTGTTTGATATATGGTACAAATGTCTTATTTTACTGTATTTAACATGTTTGATGCAGTGCCTTTCAGTTAAAAAACGGTTTGAGAATCCCTATCTGGTATTATTTCTCATGGATTGTTTACGAGGGACACTAATTGTCTCAAACTAACTTATTATGTAGCACATTTATCTATTTAAACTGTTTATGCATATTTCTGTACGGCCAAAATTTATTTGCAATCCCTTTTTAAAACTTTTTGTACAGTCTGGCAACCTTTAGCCATTTAAACTTCTTTATTACATCTTGCTTACAGGTTACAACACGAGCTTGAAGTGTCAACGAAACAGGCTATATTTGTTGGTTCAAGCATCAGTGATACAATTCGCACGTGCATTGTGTTGGGTAACCATAGAGCTGCTTTGAGAGTTAGAACCGAATTCAAGGTGACTATGGTATCCCGTTGTTAGAAATCTGAAACCTCTAGACGACATTTTATTTATTATCAAATTCAAGTAGATATCTTTCTTGCAGGTTTCTGATAAGAGGTGGTATTGGCTCAAATCATTTGCACTGGCTACAGTGAGAGACTGGGACTCCCTTGAAAAATTTTCTAAAGAGAAAAGGCTGCCGGGTGGTACTGTATTTAACTCTCTATTTTATATTGCTTCATGAAATCATTTCGCAATCAATCGTTAGGTTGCTTGAATGCACCAACATCGTGAAATGCATGCTTTTAGTTGTACAATATCTGTGCTTTTACCGGAAGTGTATTGTGTGAATCTGATTCGTTAAGATGCTTTCCTCTTACACCTATGTGGAGTGTGTGAGCTTGCTCTTATAGACGTGCAGACTTGTCTACGTTTTATTGTGTGAAAGTTTGTATTAGAATATTAATGCACATTTCTCTATTAATTGCTTTTATTTATTTTCCTTTTTTCCCTTTATTTTATTTTATTTGTTTCTTACTAGAAGATCCTATAATGAATTTTTATACATCTCTTTGCATCAATAAAATTTACTTGGGTTCTATTCTAACATGGTATTAGAGCTATGGTTCCCCTAAAGACTTTGGCCTAGCCATCGCAGACCACCTGCAGGTCTCTCCCTGCAGGAGTTTTGCCGCCGTTTTCCCTGCAGTTCTCCGATTCTTCTTCCTGGCGTTGTTCTCTGTGTTGGCCTCAACGATAGACATTCCTACCATGGTTTGACCTCCAGATACAAGTGTTCTGTGAACGTTCTGCGCTGCCTGCGAACGTTTTGCGTTGTTTGTGAATGTTCCGCACTGTTCTGTGAACGTTTCTGCCCTACTCCTGCTAATGTTATGCGCTGTTCTCTGTGCTTCCTCCTGGTGCTGACATACTCTGAGGGCTGTTTACCGCTCTGTTTGCCGAGAACCTCTTCCAGCTGTCAACCTAGATTCTCCCCGAGGCCTTATCCATTTTTTCTAGGATCTTCTGGATCTTCCTATGTCTTGGCTACTTGAGATTCGTCGCGAAGAGGGCCAGAGACTTGTCATGCTCAGTGCTTCCACTTCGTTTGTCGAATTATCCACCTTGGTCTCTAATAATGTTCAACCTCGAGCTAGTCACCGTACTTGTGATTTCTGTCACAAACCCAACCACATTTGTGATAAATGTTGGAAGCTCCATGAGAAAATTGCATGGAAATCGTTGGCAAAATCTTCCGTTACCAAGGGTCTCGTTACAACTTCTGAATCCAATATAATACAACTGACCTCTACCCATAACAATTTGGAATAATTCAATTTTCTTATAAGTCAGATGGAGCACATAATCAAACTGCTTGGATCTAGTCCACTCTTTTCCTACCTGTCGACCTCCCTTGTTCGTCAGGGTACCAATCGTATGGCACTCACTTTTTGTCTTATATAGTCAATGGATCATTGATTCAGGAGTCATATACCACATTACTGGACGTTCTCAAGCCTTCTCGACATATTATTCTTGCTCGGGGAAAGATACTATTAAAATTGTTGACGAGTCCCAAAATTTTATTGTTGGTAAAGCATCTGTTGTTTTAACTACAGGTTAACTCTGGAATCTGTTTGACATGTACCTTTGCTAAAGTGTCACCTTCTATTTGTCAGTAAGATGATATATGAAATTGATTGCATTGCTCCTTTTTTTTTTATTTGTCTTTTAGAAACTTCGTTCGGGGAGGATGATTAGAACTGCTAAGCGGGTTGTTGGGTTCTACTTCTTCCAATAGAAAAGCACGGAAAATGAGGAAACTCCAGCTAGTAGTTGTAGTTTATCTCAGTCCACTGAATGCTCTATTATATTGTTACAATGCTCTATTATATTTTTTAAAGTGTTTCATACTTTCCTAACTCGGCCTCTTGTGAGGGAGAACTAGAGTTTTTGGACACTATTACTTACCCTACTCATGTGGATGTTCCCCGCACATCACCTACCATCGAGTAACCCGTTGTTCCTTTGATTGCACCCACTTCTCTTATCATTAAGGAGAAATCTATCCCTTTGGTTCCACCAGCCCATCCTCCCACTGTCCGTGCCTACACTCGACGCACTCGTTTTGATGCACCTACTTTAGCTTACTAGAATTTGAATCCCCTCTGGATGACATTCCCAGCACTACTCCTCCAAATGAAAAGTCAGTTCCTCTTGTAAGGCACACAATCAGACATGCTCTCTCTATCCTATGACAAATTATGTATTTCTTAGGAGATTATCACCAATATAAAAAGCATTTGAGATAAAAAAAATTGTCATTAACATTGCTCACAACCTGGTTCAGGATGATCGCACAAAGCATGTTGAGATTGACCTTCACTTCATTAAGGAAAAACTCGAGTCCGAGGAAGCTTGTATCCGTTTGTGTCATCTAGTGGATAGCTGGCAAATATTCTCACAAGGAACCTTCCTCGGTCACTGTTTGAAGATTTCAAATATAAGTTGAACATGACTAACATCCATGCTTCAACTTGAGGGGCAGTATTAGAATATTAATCATATTTTTTGTGTTAATTGCTTTGATTTTCTTTTATTTATTCTCCTTTTTCCCTTTATTTTATTTTTATTTATTTCCTTAACTAGTAGATCCTATAATGGATCTTTATAACCATCTTTGCATCAATTAGATTCTATTCTAACCATTTGATTATCAATGACCTATTTTCTTCACTTTTTGAATATATTTTTCAGGATATAAGCCTTTTGTCGAAGCATGCATTGATGCAGATGAGAAGAATGAAGCATTAAAATATATCCCCAAACTCACTGACCCTCGAGAAAAATCAGAGGTAATCTCTCTATTTTCCCGCATGCTTTATTTTCATTTATTTGGCTTTCTTAATCCAAGTAGTATTTTTGTACATATAGCCAACAACATTCTATGCCTTCAAACTGTGTTTTTTTCTAGGCATATGCACGGATTGGCATGGCCAAGGAAGCTGCAGATGCTGCATCTCAGGCGAAGGATACCGAGCTTTTTAGTCGTTTGAAGCTAACTTTAGCTCAAAATGCTGCTGCTGCTTCCATTTTTGAAGGTTGGAGAGAACGTCTATCTTTCCAAGGAGTCTACTGATCATATTTTTATTACTGATTTCCTATCAGGTTAATCCCGTGTTACCCATTGCAGAACATCGTTATCCTTGACCTATTTGTGTAACACGAGGAGATTTAAATACGAATTAAGCATTGTGCAATATGGCCAATCAACCTTATGTTTTATACTTATTTCAATAAAATATGTAGTAAAGGTTGTATAATAAAATGTGCACATGTATAATTAAAAAAAAGAAAAAAAATTTGTCTTTAATCATGTGGAATGATATTATGAAGTTTGTAATTGAAGGAGTAGTAGCTCTCTCATCCATGAATTTTTAGGTAACCCTTTTGGATTTGTCCGACAACTCCGCCTCTCTCTCTACATCTACCCATAACTCACTTCTCTAAGGATTTAACTTATCATCACCCTCAAGATATATAAGCCAATCCATTTTTCTTGGGATAATTTTTCGTAGTGACCAACAATTTTAAAAAATTGCAACTCTCTTACCACTTATTTAAGAGCCATAAAACACCAATCTAAGCACTTGAAAAGTTGTTCCTCACCCTTCAATACCAAAATAAAGCTCATCTTGCCAAGAAGATCCATCTCCTGATCTGGCTAGAAAATTTAGTTTCCCTTTTTCATTATCAAGATAAAACTTCTTAAATAATTAAATTTTGCTAATCACATGTAAAGCCCCTTCTTATAGCATAAATACCTTAGTTTATTTCATAAATAAGAAAATTTTGCACTTTTGTTACTATATTTGTTTGTTATTATCATCTCTTTTGCTCTGATTAAATGATAGTTATTAGTTATTCCTAATATTTTCAATGAGTGGCCATATGATCTTTCTTTTTTTTTTATCTCCCTTAAATATAATGGTGAGCCATCCCTTTACCCTCCTCACTCTCCCTCCACCACCTTCCTTTCTCGATCACAAAAAATTTTGTCAACACTTGTTATTAAATATAGGGTTGTCAAAATGGTTGGTTGTTTGCAAACAGATCATATTCGCCTCATTAAATAGTTTGTGTTTGATTCGTTCGTTAAGCAAATAATTCAAATTTAAGTAAATAATTCAAATACAAATAATTTTTTTTCTTGATATAAGCAAGCTAAACATTTAACAAAGGTTTGTTTGTTCATGTTCGACTTGTTTTGACTCAAAATAATTAAATTATATATATATATATATGATGAGTTTTATTTCTAAATGATTTTGTTGACGACAAGACTACAAAGATTTATAATCAATTAAAATTATTAATTTAAAAATAATTCATCTTCCATAGCAATTCTACCTTTGAGGATAGCATTAGAAAAGGAGAAAGAGAAGTATAGGTGACTCACTAATTCATCTTCCACATAACCAAGAGAGCACTTAGTAGTAGATTTATTTATAAATAAAAATTATGTGCATGTATGTAAATCCCCTTATCATGTACACATCATTATTATTTCAGATTTTCTTGTTCTTATTGTATTTCATAAATGAGTAAGAAAATTCATAACAACTAAACCTAGCAAAGTAAACCATATTTGTATAACTTTTAGGTGGTAATGATACAATTAAGAAGGTTTCCAAGGAGAGAGAACATACAAGATGCGGCCTTTCCATCCTATAAGCAGCCATCAATCATCTTCATCCATGCAGAAATCCTTGTGGTAGTTTGATCCAACTCCATCCTTCACTTTCTTGCAAATAACGTTCACATCTTGCAAATTCACAACAGGAGAGACATCCACGTGTTGGAAATGTTAATATGTATGAATTGAGTGGTGTATGCATGTAAATCTTCCTCATAAGCTAATATAAGAACCGAAACCCCCAAATTCTAGTCCCCTGCCTTAATCATGCTCAAAACCTTCTGCAAAACATCCTCATAAATCTTGCCTTTAAGAGGTTTCCGGTAGATTAGTGGACCATCCAGGCTTTTAGGAATTGAATCAACCCAAATCTTCTTCCATATTTTGATTATCATTAAGAGATGAATCTAACAAAATCAGATTTAAAGTGTTAAAGCTTTAAACAATTTCAATACTTCATAACCAAAATCAACAAGGTATAAATCCTGGAATGCTCTATGAATCCAAAATTCAGGAATGCTCCATGTATCAAGAAGGTATAAATTCAGTAATGCTCTATGAATCCGATATTCTTCTCCACCCTGTAAGAGAGCTCCTTCTTCCCCGACACGACGTCCACGTACACTGTGGAGTTATCATTGATTTCTTCCCTTATCAGCATTCTTGACAACTCTGTAACCACTCTCTTCTCCAGCCATCTTCTAATGGGCCCAGCGCCAAATTTCTGTATGCAGGAGTTACAACAACAAGAGTAGATGAGCGTTTATAGATCAAACAATCAAATCTACAATATAAAAGGAGCAATATAACTTGATATTTACATACATGTCAATCCATTCCTATGTATTTACATAGGTAGCACCTAAATTTTACATTCATGATATGATGGTAATTATATGAAAATTGACATTTAAGTGTAGGACATGTAAAGACATAAGAATTGAGTACTGCTAATTTTATTATTTATTTTTGATTTCAAGCTATATACCATATCACTCAATACATACTATTAAATAATAAAACTAAATTTAAAAATAAACATACAAAAGTTATAACAATATATTATACTACTAAATGATACTTCTTATAGACCCTAAAATTATATTATTATAAGTTATAATAATAATAATAATAATAATAATAATAATAAAAGGATCAAATAATATAAAATTATGCAAAAATAAATTTAGCACATGATTTATTACAAAAAAAAGGTATAATTACATCCATAACACTCAAAACATTATTATTTACAAAATTAGTACCCACATTTCATGATAAAATCTTTGGGAATTTGAGAAAAAAGAGAAATATTATTTTGGGGTTTATCATGAATTTTGATAAGAGTGAGAATTCAAAAAAATGGATGAAAGAATATATAAGATTTGTAAATAGCAATGTTTGGAGTGTTATGCATATTAAATTATGCAAAAAAACATTAGCAAATGATTTTAACACATCATCATAGGATATTTTTTTTTAAAACAACAAATGATGAAACACTTGAAATGGAATCACTTACAGGGTCATAAGATTGAGATAGCACAACATCCAGAACAACATTTGTTGCGCCCAACGTAATTCCTCTCTCAACCAAACAAAAAGCTATATCATTCATCTGAAGTCTTGCCACATTCCTCAATTGATCATGGGACAATGGATCAAATATTATGATACACCTAAAATATATGCATTTTTAGACCCATATTTTATACTTATTTTTTGTGATATTGCACTTTAATGGAAGGTATTTTGATGTTTTCTTGCAAGTTGTTGATTTTTAGGACTTAAAGCAAAAATGAAACAAAAAAAAAATGAAATTTAGAGTCAAAATGACGTTTTTTGAAGAAATACTCAACGCCGACCGCGCCAAGGGCGGCGCCAACGGCGCAGAACAACATAACAACTAGAGATTTTACTCATCGCCGACGGCTCCAAAGGCGG